TGTGATACATCTGAAAACACATTTCTTGGGGTCTTTCTTAATGTTTTTATAGTATGCGGGATGATTATAAGTTATATTCCCCAGGTTTGTAGTTTTATAGCCTTTTTCAAATTGCATGCGATAAAGAACGACATTCTTACTCGTTTCACTCCATAGCATTATAGAATTATCAGTACAAAGAGCAGTGATGGAATTAGTCCTTGGTTTCTTTTGTTGGGATGCGTATCAGCAACATGCAGTTTATTTAATATTTTAATTTTACAACGCACCGTTATAGATTGTTGTCACGAAATGGTACGTGTTCCCGTTGTTGTTAAAGACAAAAATGTCATCTTTAACATTCTAGTCAGAATATGGCTGACACAAATTGATCCAATAAATAATCACAGACCGGATTCAACTGCTTCGCAAGCATGCTCGGGATTATTCAACTTTCGCTTCAGTGGTTGATGTTTACCTTGATCTTTATTCTTTTCATGATCTATTTCCCGCCTCATCGTAAAATTGTACAATATGTCCGTCACTTGCATTTTAATTCACCGCCTACCAATTGGTCATCTGAATGGCGTATTTCTGTCGGGGTTGCTACAACTGTGACACTACACTTTGTTCTTACCGCTCTTATTTCATTATACCTTGTATCGATTGGTGGCTTAACAACAAGATATTGGGCTGATATTCTTGGTGTCATTTCCATGTTTTTTGCATCAATTCAATACTTGCCTCAAATATGGAGGACTTGGAGGAGAAAGGTAAGATTTTATGGATGAAATTTTAATGAACAATAATTTAAATTTAATTGAATGCTATACTATATGTAGTCGGTAGGTGCACTTAGTATTCCTATGATGCTTATGCAAACTCCCGGGTCTTTCCTTTTCACCTATCTCCTTGCCGTTCGTCCTGGAACGAGATGGACGACCTGGATTGTTTTCCTTGTTACTGGATGCCTTCAAGGAACCCTTCTAATCATGTGTATTTGTTGGCACTACCGAGCTAAACGTCTCGGATATGGTCCGTTTAATGTTGGTGAGAGAGACTTGCTTGTCGGTCGCGATGGCAAGCCATTGGTTCAAGATGAACGTGCAAGATTACTTGAAGAAGAATCTGCCATATCTAATAACTATGGCAATCTTGTTTCTAATGATGATATATTAGAAGAGTCTTAAATT